CCCTCGTGTAGCTTTGCGCGAAATTCAAAAAAAACAAAACAAACAAACAAGAACATTCAAACTCGTATTTGATACTTAGTATAAAATTAAGTGATAAAACAGCAAAAGGAAGTACAAAAGGTAGCAACTTACTCTCTTATGAAAGTTCGTGTCCACTGTTATTTTTACTAATAAAAAGATAGATATATAAATAATTGTTTACTTTGTACTATACTGTATTGTGTCATGTTTTGTTGAACTCTTCTGTTTCATAAGATGTTATAATGTATTTTTTTCAACGGTTCCCCTTTTATTAATAATAATATTATTATTCAAAGCAGTTTTTTTTTTCAATTTCCTTCAACACTCTTTTCTCAGTTGTATGGAATTCTGTATTTCGTGACTTTAAGAAGACATAGTGGTGAAATGCTATACTAAACTAGTCACAAGGCTGAGTTAATGAATCATCATAAACCTGTGGTCAAGTCTCTCTTGTGAAACTGAAATCATTGAAAAAGGACAATCTTTTCATTTTGTGAAATGTTTGTTTAAGGTACCAATTCTAAGATAATTATAATGTTGATAATAGATTGTCTTTCAAAACGTTGAAAAAGTGGAAATCTATAATTTTGTTAGTAAAACTTTCATGTTGAATTAATCCATGATAATTCTGAATTTAATGATCCATTGGAAAAGAATGATAAAATCAATTAATTTATATCCTATTATTTTATATTTTGAAATATTACTTTAAAGTGCATTAAATAAAGTTAAGTTGAATAGTCGTTTTCTTTTTTTAAATAACGATATACAGCTACTTCAGACTTGCGATTAACACTCACTAATGACTTCACATTGCACACCTGATAATCCTATTTTTAAAACGAATAGATGTTGGTATTTAAAGTAGTAGATCTGTTATTATCTTTGGTGATTAATATTTAGGTATGTTATTTAAGATATGCATACATTGTTGTAGTACATAGTAAAGTGAGTCGAAGAATGCCTCCTAGTTCACATCTCAAAACCTATTACTTTCAAGCGCAAAGATATCTTGTAGAAGGACATTAGATACCTGAAATGTAAGGTTTTAGTTGTTCTGTGATAAACACTAAACAGTTACTGTTGTTTCAGGTAACATATTATCATATATATTTACATAGATGCATCTATTAGGTCGTCAAGAAATTAATGTCGCGTTTTGGAACACTTTCATTAATTTTGGGGGGGGGGAAAAAGTACTTCACGTATAATAATTAGTGTAGCCTATATAATGTGTAAAGTTTAGTATAATCTAATCCCTTATAGTGATGGCACACGATGAAACACACATTCGTGTAATGCTGTTTGAATACAAGAAGGGAAACAACGCCTCTGTTGCCACAACGAATATCAAAGACGTTTATGGAAATGTTTTGAACGTTCGTAAGTGTCAACGATGGTTCAGCAAATTTCGTTCAGGTGACTTAAAAACGGTGATGGCAGGGGCCGACATGTCGGAATTGATATTGATGCTCTGAAGACGCTTGTTAAGTCTAATCCAAGACAACACACTCGTGAAATGGCCCTGAAATTGCATGTCTCTCATGAAACAATACATAAACTTTTAAGAAATATGGGAAAACTGTTTAAAGAAGGTGTTTGGGTGCCTCACGAACTTTCCGATGACCATCGTTTCCAACGTGTGAACGTTGCTACATCTCTTCTGGCGCGTAATGCGCGTGAACCATTTTTGTACAGAATTGTCACCGGTGATGAAAAATCGATTCTCTATGCGAATATTAAATACTAAAAACAATGGCTCAGTCCTAGACAAAAACCACTTCTGACCTCATAACCTGGGCTTCATCCGTAGAAAGTGATGCTTTGAATTTGGTGGGACATCAAAGGAGTAATTCATTT